TTCATTTATTATTACCGTTTAGTTAATTAAATTTTGAAATGAAAATCCAAATATAGCAGTTATGTAAAAAGTCTGTGGTAGCACCATCTGATTGTATCATTTATTATTAACATTCAGTTAATTAAATTTTGTAATGGAAATCCAAAAATAGCAGCTATGTAAAAAGTCTGTGGTAGCACCATCTGATTGTATCATTTATTATTAATGTTCAGTTAATTAAAATTTGTAATGAAAATCCAAATATAGCAGTTATGTAAACAGTTTCATTATTATTGTTCCTCGTGATTTCTTAGAAATAAAGCCTGTTCAGCAGATTTCTCAAACTACAGTGTATGCCAACCTAAAAATGGGCAACAAAGAAAAAAATGAGCTTGGTATAATTGTAGCTTTTCTACCATGTAGTATGGAGATCACGTTACCAATTCTAATGTTAAATAAAATATGACTTAAAGTTTAGTTTTACTCCAAGAATCATGAAGGCTCTATAGACAGTGGGAAATTCTACCCTTGACAAATCACAACAATCATTCAATTTTCAAGAGGAAGAAGTCGGTCCTACTTTTTTAAAATTAAAAATGAAGGGCATATTTAGTTTTTTGTCGACAATAAAGCATGCCTAGCTATTTATATTTGCGTGTTCGAATTGCTTTTTAAAGTTCTGCTTCACTGCAACTATTTTCACTATCACTGTTTTCTTTTATAATTTCTTCACTACATAAATTATCTAAGCTATTTAAACACTCCCCTTCACATACACAACTTGGCCCACATGTTCTATTTTTCTTCCTACATCCACAACGGTTGCCACACGTGGTCTACCTTCCTACAACTACACCCTTTCATTAAGAAATTAAAATTATCCTGTGCTAATTTATCCACCTCATTTGTTGAGAATTTATATTTGAGTTTCCCTTCTTCTAACTGGTACCCCCATTCTAAGACATCTAAATACTCTATCCTATTCTGGCCTGCTTGTCCCCACATCTGTGCTATAGAACAAGTCCTCAACCAGTGTAACTCTAAGCTATCTTCTAGTGGCAATACATGCTCCAAGGATTCTACATCTAACAAAGCCGACCTTATATTACCCAACCAAATAGAAACATTTTCTGAATAACTGAGGTCCTTATTATACAAACTTCTGAAATAACTAATGCGGCTACTGTCTGGATTCACTGACAAAAAAGCATTGCAGCATTTCCTAAAATAAAGACAACCTAACAGACAGTAAAAAGCTAATAGTCCACTTCAGTAGTTCCCTGCACCTACTTCATCAAGAGTTCCTACAGCAATTTTTCCAGATATAAAGTCAGCATACCTGTAAAATACAGAGAAGATTGTTTTTTACCAAATCGCCTTAAAAACTAGAGGATCAGAGAGGTGATACCACCTCCGAATATTGTACCACCAACTGGAGTAAGCGCATTGGAATGGACCCCCCCCAAAAAAAAAAAAAAAGAAAAGGGACACCACCACCAGTCTTGTGCTTGACAAGATCTATAAAATGCAATCAACAAAAGTTCTCAAAATATGCAAAAAAATATAACTAAAAATGGTACAATCAAGCATATTTGTGAATTGACCTGTATTTTCCTAACATTGATCACTCTTGTGATTCTGTAGACAATAGACCTATTGGTTTTCCTTGAAATGTGTTAATTTGTCAGTGTTGCATATATGCTGACAAAAGAAAAAACCTAGTAGCAACACTGGGCACATCTCTGCTAGTTTTGAAGATATGAGAGACAAGAAAATATGCAAAGCTCAGTACATGGTGAAAAAGTAGGTCAAAGGTCAATTTCAATGTCACAGTATATGACTTCCTATTCAAGTTCAATAGTAACCATGGGCATTTCTTTGCCAATTTTGGAGATTTAAAGGCCAGAAAACATGCAAAAAGCAGTTCATCATAAAAAGTAGGTCAAAGGTCTATTTAATGGTCACACTTAGATTGCCAGTATATAACTTACTAAACAAGTTTAATAGTAACTATGGGTGTATCTCTGCCAGTTTTGAAGATTCAAGGGACATAAAAGTTGCAGAGCTAAGTTCATGGTGAAAAGTAGGTCAAAGGTCAATTTTAAGGTCACAGTTAGATTGCCAGTATATGACTTCCTATTCAACTTCAATAGTAACTATGGACCTATCTCTGCCAGTTTTGGAGATATAAGGGACTAAATGTTACAATTTTGGAGTTACAATAATGTGCCATAAATTTGGTACAAAAAAAATTAATTGAAATAAAGAAAAGGTCATTTTGGTTGAAATTCTTGAAATGGGAGGTGCTCAGAATATCCAGATGTTCAAATTTCATGAAATAATGGCATTTTTGACCTGAAGTTGTCTGCCTCGCCAAGCCTTATGTTTTATTTTCCAGGGGTTCAAAATTTATTACACATTACCGTATTGCACATTTTGCTTTCACCACTACAATGTACTTTTTGATACAGAATAACTTGTAAACCGTATTGCAATAAAAAAAACGGAGACCACTATCAGTGTTGGGCTTGATATGCTCTACAAAATGCAAAAAAGAAAAGGTCTCTAGCATTAACGGTTTCCGAATTAGAGACAGTTTTCAGTTTCGGTATCTTATGTCCGCTTTTCCCGTGAAAATGCACTGATTGGCCCCAAACTCACGGAGCTTAAAGACCACTTAAAGGGTAGCACCTGCCAATAATATTATAGGTTAAGTCTGCGTAGTTTCTGAATAATTTTTTTTTGTAAAAATTTCGTTTTTTTGAAAATTTTGGCCCGTTTGACCTTGAAATAAAGGTCAAAGGTCAAATCCAAGGGCATATTTGAAATCTCCACATATGACTTCCGGTCAGCCGTCTGTAGAAATTTTTCCCATAATTCCTTTGGTATGGTAGATATTTAGCACTTAATTTTGCCATTTTTGGACAAGGGTGCATTGCATTGCACCTAGACCCCAGCACCGACAAAGCCCAAATTTTACGTGGAACGAGTTGAAATTTTAGATGACCTAAATCCAAGAGATGGGTATACGCAAGCCCTTGTAGTCTAGAAGGAGAAGGGGTAACAGTAACATGGCGGCAAAAAAAAACAGGCATTCCTCAGTGAAACATGCTACTTGTATAAAGACTAAAATGAGCAGAAAAAGAATCATTCAAAGACACCCTGGTGCATAGCACGAAATTCATGCACTACATGTAGCACTCCTATTGACAATTCAGATATAGGCAAAGCATATCAGAATCACCAGTAAGAAGTGCTTGTACATGAATTTTGCACTACCTGGTGCAAAATGAGAATAAAGGCCAAAACTTGCAGAAGTTTTCAAATTTAACTACATGTATGAGTGAGCAGGATATTTTACATTTTACAATCATATAGTTTCTCTTTAGAAGACTCACTCTCATTGCATGAATCACTTCAGGTAAATCCTCTTCAACTGATTTTCTTCTTAAGTTCAATTTGAGAAGACGTTTCCTCAAGTAGGATTCACTAAGTATAAAATGAGAAAATATGTATATATACATTGTACAACAATCTTAATAAATACAAAACATGCAAATATATTTTTAACATAAAATGTATAAATATGCAAGAATGCAAATGCTTGATGAAAGGGGGGTCAGAGAGAGAGGAGGGAGCAAAGATGACATCTTTTTGCAAAATAAAAAACAAATAAATAAATATGCAAAGCCCTCAAGGCTTGAGTAAGCACTGAAAACTGGTACTACATAAGACTACATCCCGATACTCCCCCGCACCGACACTCCTGCGCATCGACGTGACCCCTTACATAATCAGTTACAATATAATTAGGTTTGATGAGTGAGGTTACTAACCTTTCCGGTACCATATCATATGGAAAGTTACACTATCACCTTACATACCGTGTAGGTGCCATGGGCAAGTGACATAGTTTTAGCAATCGCAGTTGCAGTGTATCCAGCTTTAAAATAATATCTAATAAGACTGTCCATTGTTTAAGTCATTTGCTTTCCGCGTGCCAAGTGTGTAAAAGTTCCGCAGCAGAAAGCCGTCCGCAGAAAAAAGTTGAATAGTCGAAAACTCGAAAAGTCGCAAACTCGAAAAGTCGAATATCCAATAGGGGCCACCATAGCTAAAAGCTGTCTATTGTAAAACACAGTCGATGGGTACCCTCTACCAAGGCGACTGATAGATTTTTTACGGATATTCACAGATATGTCTCTAGCTAGATAGATTGTCATTTTAACTCTAAGTTAGATAGATGACAATCTATCTAGCTAGAGACATATCTGTGAATATCCGTAAAAATCTATCAGTCGCCCTGGTAGAGGGTAGTTGATGGGATCGTTTACTGGCTTTTATGGACCAGCGAAAACATTTATGTAATTTATCTCACACTGATACCGGATTCGAAAAATTAAAAGTTTATATATGGAGTAAATTGGATATTTCTCTTTTTTGTGTGAACCAGAACAATGATTTAACCTTCGTTAAAGTAGAACCATACTATTAAAGCTTATAGTAAAATTTTTGTGAAACCGGCTCATAGACTGGCTTTAAGGTTTAAGTATGAAAGGTATGGAAGTTAGCCAACCTTGTCCTCGTTATGCCTTATCCCAGTCCTCGTTATATACGCTATCCCAGTAAAGTGAAACTGAAGGTCCGAGTAACAGAGAGCACAACCCCAACTAGCTTCATACAGGTAAGAAAAGCGCCACGTAAGTGGGTCAAAATGAGCTTACCTGTACACATTTTAAACAAGACAAATACAAATGTACTTGTTAAAATCGGTGAGAACTAGTTTTCAAGGGACCATCTCGATGTACGCTTGTCTTAAATACCTTGAAATAATAGGGACATATGTCACTAGCAAACTGACTTGAATTGCTTAAAGTCGTATTCTCAAATAAAAAGGTATAACTACGTTGTGTACGCCCTTTGTTATTTTCTATGTGTGAAACACCATGTACAGGGGGCTTAAGCCTTTGGTGTTAGCTTTTCGGTTTTGTCTTTTAGCTTAAGTATGGATGACAACTTACCCATTCCTACCGCTATTCCTAACGTCGTAACATACTTGGGACAGTCAGCAAGGGCAATCGTCAACATCAAGCCGTTAGTTACGAGAATTAACGTTCCTATTATTTCTGCGCACACGGCTCTCCAGAACTGAAGTGTTTTAATGTCTTTTATTTCACTTTGAAATTGATGTAAGACTTTCTCCTTCCAGATTCCCATGGTGTTCGTTCTGGCCCAGACGCTGAGCTTGCAAACTTGTTAACAAGAGAATGGAAGAATGCTGTACGCTTGTCTGTGCTGTTGGAACTGAACATTCGCTGCGAGGGATTTTATACGCGCACGCACGCCACTGATATATCTTTTTAAGTTTATAGGAGCATCGATGGAGGAGGCGGAGTCTACGGATATCTGGTTGGTTGGTTAGTTGGTTGGGAGCATTTGACATTCTTTTACATAATTTTCATTTTATGATGCAAATTTAAGTTTAAAGTACCCCCAGAATTCCTCGTGAATGGAAAGACCCCCCCTCCCCCCAGGCCCAACGCAGCTCATGAATGCCTGTTGTTCGTAAAAAGACCACTGGGTTTGTGTCAGGTATGTTCCTTATAAAATTACAGTTTAAAGTAAGATAACACGCACCTTTTACCGAAGTCAAGTGCGAGGTCTTTGACACCCTTGTATCCCATCGAGAAAACGAAAAAAAACAGCTTCCAGTATAAAAAGTATCATAAAGTGCAGGAATTTCAAATAGGCCTCATACGAGTTGTATCTAGCAAAGGTGATCCCTCGACACCCTACTGCGTTTTCATAATCTCAAGACTAACTAACTTGCCCTAACTACAAGTATTTCTGAGTGTCATTGATAAAAAACACCAATAGGTGGTCCGCTTTCACATGCGTGCAGTAAAACACCATTTATCATTAGCTTAAAGGATGATTCTCCTCGAGCGCAGCGCTCCACGTAACGTGTCTTACATGAAAATGATGTCATCGCCGATGGTGCCCACATGTGCGTAAAGCTATGAAAATTACTTTGGGTTTGAAAATTGTTCTATTCCTATTTTCTTTTATAGCCAGTGTGCTTGAAATGCAATATTTAGCCTTCACGTAGCCCCATTGCTACAGCTATGCCATATGAGTGCGCATCCCAGCACAATCCTTTCTCGGGTATCGCAGTATGAGCAAGCAAAAAAAAAAAAAAAAGAAAGAAAAAAAATTACAATTACTTTGAATTATACATCTTAAATATTTATAGTAAAACATTCCGTACTAATGTTTTGTCCAAAATATAGAGTATGTGCTATTTAAAAGAGAAAATTAAGCCAAAGCCTATAAAACTACTTTTTTTCACTCAGTTNAAAAAAAAAAAAAAAAAAAAAAAAAAAAAAAAAAAAAGAAAAAAATTATAATTATTTTGAATGATACATCTTAAATATTTATAGTAAAACATTCCGTACAAATGTTTTGTCCAAAATATAGAGTATGTGCTATTTAAAAGAGAAAATAAGCCAAAGCCTATAAAACTACTTTTTTCACTCAGTTAAGAAGTTGACTATTTGACTTCTTCAAAGCCAATTTTTTTATAGCCCTATAGGTGTGAGATGTTTGTGTGTGTGTGTGTGTGTTTTTAATATATATATTTCTGAAATGACCAATGACTCTTTCATGCTTAATTAACAGAGATTGATAAAGATTTGTTTTGAAATAAAATTTTGAAGTATACAGAATCTGGGGCGTCATGATACATGGTGCTGACGGCGGTTCCACTACCCTGCAAACATTCATCATCACCATGTCGACTGACGTTGAAATCGGTACAGGTGTAATGGTTATGGAGGCTTTTCCAAGAAAACGAAGCTTGGGATGATCTACCGGAAGTAGTATAAAGAAACATAGTCTAAATATACTCGATTATTATCGTTTAAGCCGTCATATCGTTGCTATCTTTTCAATTATGTAAAATAACGCACTCGCCGAAAAAAAGTGAAGAATAAAATGGATTTTTAAAATTCATTTTATTAATATATCTATTAATATGTTGATAAATAACTTTCTCAAAAAGTTATAGATTTAATATAATTCCCAATATTTGTAATACATAACTGACCTGGCGTAAGATATTCCAAAGGCTGGCTAAGCAGGACCACCTACTCCCATCTCTAAACACTTACAAAAATATTTGGATGATATATTTGCTGATTTTTCTCAAAAATATATAGACGTGTTTTTGTGTTAAAAACGAGTCAACATTTTTTAGGACAAATTGACAGTTGTAGTTGATGCTCCATCTATGCAGTCAAATTAAACAAAAAAATATATGCGTCTCTCCAATTAATACGTCAATATGATGTTTACAATTAATAGTTCAAATTATTAACAATTGCCAAAATTCAATCTTGTTGATCATAGATATATTTTGTATAAAAATAAAATGAACAAGGCAAGTTGAACAAATTCTCGATAAAAAAATCTATGTGTAAAATAGTACAAAAAAACGAACAATAGGACTTGAATAACTATTGATTCGAACAATCAATAGTTATTCATTTTAATAAACATCAAGCGGTGCAACAGGTGTAAGTTACTTATTAATAAAACAGTATTTGGTGTAGACTCCGTAGGGTTATGCAATGGTTTTATCACCCTTACATGTAACATTCAATCACGGTGAATAAAATTAATTATTTGCTTTAATATAGAGTATAAACAAGATATTCCTAAACTTTTGAGAGAGAGAGTTGTATTTTGTCTGTTCCTCGAAGATGTTGCACGTAAAGTTCAAGGATACCTGATTTTCAACCGAGTTGGTGACTCAGTGTTTTGTCATGTTTCTTGTTGGAGAGTTTAGGCTCTTCTGACAGTTTAGGCTCTTCTGACAGTTGAGGTGCTTCAGCGGGTCACATTGAAGTTAACCGTTCCTCTTCGTTCACATCATTTTTTTCCGGAATCTAAATAAAACTTTTTAGGTCATTCTTATTTAGTCATTAAAAAATGTTGCCTTCAAATAAAAAAAATGGAATAGGCCTATAATATGTGGACTTCTCCGTGACCAGTATACGATTCACAACTGTAACTTCCATTTACTGCAAAAGGAGAATTTTAATGCAAAGCCGATGAAAAATTGTATAATACTTACAGTGAAGAGTGCGCTTGATGACATTTTGTGATGCAAAGTCTTGCACTTGCTGCACGCTGAAACGGAAAATATCTATCTTAATGGAATATAACTAAAAATAAATATTGGACATGCAGGTAACTATCTCCAATCTGAAGGTGCGACTTTAGGTCTTCAAAAATACACAACGAAATGCTTACCATGTCGACTGATAAACTCGTCTGCAACCCAGTTTCCGTGATGATGTTCTTTATTTGATCCAGTATCTTCTCCTAAAATCCCACTGTCTTTTCTCTGTATTGGTGTCCCACCCTGTCTGACTATGTAGTGGTAAATGAACGTGGCTAGGCATGCTCCAGTAATAGGGCCGACCCAGTACAGCTGTGGGGAAAATAAGACTCCGTTCACATGAAAAATCTATTTTGTAAAAATCTATTTTCTATTCGCGGTATCTTGTGATCACTCCGAGCACAGCCGAGAATTAATTACAGCTTTGGAAGTAACTGGCTCGCGCTGCCAGTAATTACGCCGCGGGGTATTCAGGGCACAGACCGTGATCACAAGATACCGCGAATAGAAAATAGATTTTTAGAAAATAGATTTTCCATGTGAACGGAGCTTTAAGTCAGAAAAGCGTGACGATTATATTCTTGTCATGATTCGAGTTAATTTATGTTTATTTGGTTTTTATTTTAATTAAATAAATAATTAATTAAAATTTGTATGTGACGGAGTCTCTTCAATCTAAGTATACGCAAATAATAACCACCGAGAATAGGTCTTAAAATGTTTTTTTTTTTTTTTTAATTTCATTTTATTTGTTTGTTAATTTGTTATTTATCATTATTATTATCAATTTGTATTATACGTAGCATAATCACCCAACTATGCTCCCACTCGCCAGCTATGAAGGAACGTCCAAATGATATACATGGGTTCAACATCGTACCAGATAAATCTGCCTAAAATATCAACGGTAATCATTCTTAACATTAATAATTGATTTCTGTCTATGAAAGAGGAGTATTTAACCGGATTGAACTTTTTTATTAATATTAAGACGTAAACAACTATGTACCAGAATATAAAGGGCAGATTTCAAAACTACTTTAATCTATTGTGATAAACAAACACATGATTGACAAAAATACACCCAACTGCACCTTTTACTCAGACTCATTTCTCTAACTGTGACTTCTTGGTATCCCCTTTCGTACATGAACGCGTCAACTCCAAAGGTTAATACATTTACTTGTATATAACAATCAAGCGCTTTTAAAAAAGAGGAAGCATGTTAATCTGTTAACCTGGGCCCCGTATCTCGAAAGCTTCGCTATGTTGCGCACGTGCGCGAGCATGGCGAGCGTGCGCTATTTGCTAGTGCGATTGCACCCACCTGCTATCTCGAACCCTTATACCCCCTTTACACTAGCTGGACGGCGTCCTTTCTGCGTCCTTTCTGCGACCATGAAATTTGGCATCGCTGTGGTCCTAATAAGGAGGTACAAGCATCGATTTTGTATCAGAATGAATGCTCAATGATCGGCCAGTTGTCTGCCGTAAAGTATTATAATTTTTTAACTCTTAAAAGGGGCCGTACTGCTGGACGCAGAAAGGACGCCGTCCAGTGTAAAGGGGGCTTTAGCAAACACAACGCAATTATAACCTCAAACTCTACTAAAATTCGATTGCCGCATAAAGTGAAGACGTCATCACACAATTACACAAAATGTAATTTTTTTCACCATGACGCAAATCAAGAGGTTGTTTTTATTTATAGGAATATCATAATTACAAATACTGATATTTGAAGTATTTGACACCAATAAAATGTCAAAAAACAATTCAATAACCAAAGCTTGGACTGACACAATTACTGACACATTTGGTGAGTAGTGGTCAGTCTCACAATAATAGACATTGAGGAAGGTCACAGTGCGACCGAATGCTTTGTTTCTGCTTTTTCATTTTGTGTAGAAAATGACACTTTTTAATTTATTATTATTATCAATAGACTACTATCAATAGACAGATGAATTAAATTCACCAGAAAATATAAAATGATGTATGAAATGTTTAATTTTGAAATTTTTCTGCATAATAAAACATGACTTAAGCATTCTTCACGTGAATATTTACCGCAAGTTTTTCTATCAGAGGTACCAGTGATTCAATGTTTTATTATATGTTTTATTATATGCTATTATGACTAGCAACCCAAACTTGCCACCATGTTTATTTACATGAAAGACACATTAAAATGACGAATTATGCATACGCAGAGGCCTTTGCGACTAGTTTGTATCGCCGCAAATAATAGCCTCGAAACTAATGGTGATTTCGACATTAGCGCACGGCCGCACGTGCGCAACATAGCGAAGCTTTCGAGATACGGAGCCCTGATTGCATTTAGCGCTAGTTCCCACGAAGTTGAGTCGATCTACGTAGGCTCGACTGATCAACTTACCCCGGTAACGATGGCTATTGTCACCGACAGTCCGATAGGCAGTCCCCAGGATGGGTCATATGGGTGATAGTGGGTATCAATAGACCCCAGAGCAATGAAAACCACGAAAAATGTGTTAAACACTTCAATTCCAAAAGCTTGTGCCAGGGTCACTTCATGATGATGCCGTACGTAGCCGCTGATCTGACGACCGGGTGGAACCAACCTGAAAGAAAGATGAAATTAAGAGAAAAAAATCTGACAGCAATGTGTCTCCGTCCTTGCGTAACTGATTTTGTCTCGACTCACACATAATGCTTGGTCAAACAGAGAAAACCTAACATTTGAATAATCATTTCTATGTATATGTGTATCTAAAATAGGGGGAAATACCGGAATCAATTGCTTTATAATAAGTGTCAAGTTATGTTGTTGTTTTTTTGTTTGTTTTTTTTTCGTTAATTCTACTCTAATTTTTTTATTGACATTGTTCTTACGCTTTAGGCAGCCACGATCCCAAAACTGCTCCGGTACACTGGGCAACGACATATATCAGCGCTACAAATTAAAAAATGCACTTAGACTGGGTTTCATTTCTAAATAGCAATGTATTTTGATTACTATTTGGAACGTGACGATTATAAAATGAAGTGTTTCCTTTTTTATTTAAACAAGACAATATATTTATCAGAAGTACCAAAGAAATTTATGCATCTATTGTCGTGAAAATAAACTGATGATCAATAAGCACAATGATAACTAAAATGAATTTGGTGAAAAAATAAAGAAAGAAATGATTAAATACAATGTTAATAAAAAAAATTGAGAAATCACTCATGGTTCCTTGAAGTCGTGATACAAGTTTTTAACCGATATTTTTCTATAAAAACAATGGCGCAGTAATTTAAAATAGCGGCAGGTGGTTTTGTCATATTACCTTTCAGAGGCGTGAACTGCATAGAAATGAGGAGTGCCAGACTCACTGCAGGGTTGATGTGTGCACCGCTGACGTGACCAATAGAAGCCATAATACAATACACACAGAAACCTAGAAAAGCAATTCCTATAATGTTTTAAGGAACTAAGGTTGAACTTATGATTCTTTGAATCCCAGCTCTGCTCTGCATCTGTCAGATATGTTGCTCACAATTTAATTAAACTTGCTGACTTAAACGTTCAATGGAACAATTACCTTTTAAACATTTTCAGAACAAGAATTTTCAAGTGGGTCCCCATATTTGATCCGCGGAGTAGTTAGTCTGTTGTCGTGAATCCGGCCTTACAGATGTGGCTGCAACTGATCGATATGGGAAGGGAACCATTGGGCAGTTTTACTAAATGACCTGGGTAGAAGTTACAGCTTAAAGCTGTTATTGAAAGAAAATTTTATTATAACTTTTATTGTATAACACAATTAATGGAATTCTTTGCCAGGTTTTATGGGTGGACCACATACTTATACGTGAAAACATGGTATTAAATTTGATACCGAATTCGAAAGTTTAAAGTTTATGTGTGGACTATAATACAAATTTTTCACTAATTGTGCTTCAGACCAATAATTTAATATTTGTCAAAGCAGAAACATGGTCATTGACGTTACAGTTAGAGGCTGGCTGTATGATTTACGTATAAAAAAATATGGAAGTTAGACAACCTTAACCTTGTTATTCGTTATCCCAGTCCCCATTACACGCTAGCCCTATATTATGAAACTGAAGGTACGTGTAACAGAGGCCGCATTTACAACAGCAGACCAACTAGTCTGCGGATAAATATGGTGACCACTTTAAAGGTTGCTGTCTTATCAACTAATAGACACTGAATAGATTCCCCACTGGGATTACGCAACAAGCATTCAAGTGGGTCAGCCATATTTGATCCGGGGACTAGTTAGTGTCCTGTTGTGAATGCGGCCAGAGAATCCATCCTCCTTAAGCTTCATTAGGGAAAGCACCATGTAAGTGGGTCAAAATGTATTACAGAGCTTTCCAGTACACATTTAAAACTTACCCATTCCTACCGCTACTCCTAACGTCGTAACATACTTGGGACAGTCAGCTAGTGCAACCGTCAGCAACAAACCGGTAGCCAAGAGAATAAACGTTCCTATCATTTCTGCGCATACGGCTCTCCAGAACTGAAGTGTTTTAATGTCTTTTATTTCACTTCGGAATTGCTCTGAGACTCGCTTCTTCCAGGTCCCCATGGTGTTCGTTGTGGTTAAACGTTGTGTTTGCAATTTTGATGACAAGAGAATAGAAGAGTGCTGTCAATTCTGTACTATTGGAACTGAACACCCGCTGAGCAAGCGAGGGAATTTATACGCGCACGTGTGCCACTGATATGTCTTTCATAGGAGCTACAATGGAGGAGGCGGAGTCTAGGGGTATCTGGTTGGTTGGTTGTGAGCAATTGGCATTCTTTAACGTAATAATAATGCAAATTTATGTTTTAAGAAGCCCCAGAATCCCGCGTGAAAGAGAAGACTTCCCTCCCCAGGTTCAAGGCGGCTCATGGTTGCCTGTTGTTCATGAAAGGACCACTGGGTATGTCTCAGGTATATTCCCGACAAAATTACAATTTAAAGCAAGATAACACACACCTTTTACCTGTTTCACTTGCTAGGTCTCTGACGCCCTTGCATCCCATCGATAAAACGAAAACAAACAGCATCCAGTATAAAAACTACGGACAAATAAAATATCAGAAATTAATTAAAGGTTGACATGCTAATGCGGCATATTAGTGTTACGTATATCACGTTTTATTCTGACAGTTTTTAAGAATGTATCATAGCTAAAAGCTACATGTATCCTTGCACCATAGCCCATTGGAACCTGTGCTTGGGTTTTATTTGAGCGACTCATGAAAGACGGAATCTGTCATGGTATGTCGCCTTTTACAATTACTGCACTGTTTGGATCTCAAAAGTACCTTTACTAGAATAAAAAATAAAAAGAAGCGAAGTGCCATGTAATGCTGCTTTTGCCTTTCCATACGTTGCATGTTTCTTATTAAACATGGTGTCCTTAAATCAAAACGATCGTGCCACAAGTACGTTAAGCACGGATTTAGTAGCAAACAGAAGAAACATCAAATAATTTGTATGTAAGAATGGAGATAATGGAAAGAATGAAATGTGTAAAGGAATGGGAAAATGATTGTGGGTTGTTAAAGCTTTACTTCTGTTTACTGCCAATTGTAAATGCAAATTAGATATGCTCAACATGTCCCGAATAGTGAAAGTAACCTTGCATTATCGATTGCCAAAGAAGTATCACAAAGTGCAGGAATTTCCAAGAGGCCTGAAAGAGCTGTTCCTAGCATAGGAGATCCCTCGACAACCTTCTTCTTTTTTCATAATATCAAAACTCACTAACTTGCCTTTACTACGAGTATTTCTGAGTGTAATTGATAAAAAAATACCAAGAGATGGTCCGCTTCAATATGGGTGCAGTAAAACATCATTATCATTAGCTTAAACATAAAGGGTGATTTCCGCGTAGGTAGCACTTCACGTAACGTGCCTTACATGAAAATGATGTCATCACCAACGGTGTCAACATCTGCGTAACGCGATGAAAATTACGTTGGGTTTGAAAATTGTTAAATTTATTTTTTGTTTTAGAGGCTTCGTGCAAGATAGATTAAAAATGTAATTTGGCCTTGACGCAGGGTTCAGTGTTACAGCTATGCCATATGAGTGCGCATCCAAGCACAATCCCTTCTCGGGTATTGCAGTATGACTCTATGAGCAAGAAAAAAGTTTACAATTATTTTGACTTATACATTTTGAATATTTCTAGCAAAAAATTCCGTACTGATGTTTTGTTTTCTAATAAAGAGTGTGTGTGCTTTTTAAAGGAGAAAATTAAAACAAATGCCTATAAAATTACTTTTTTTTATTCAGTTAAACTATTTGACATCTTTAAAGCCAAATTTATTGCTTTGAATATGAGTGTTGAGAAGCCCTAGGTGGGAGATGTTTGTGTACAATGACCAATGACTTTTTCATATTAAATTGTTACTTCCAAAGCTGTAATTAATTCTCGGCTGCGCTTGGAGGAGATTTTGACACCTTGACGCATGCGCAGTAGTATCTCTTAGCTGTGGAGTTCATCAGTTGAGTTGTGACGACTCAAGCATACAGACGCGTAATATTGCTAGAGGTAGTGCTTGTTGTTGCACAAAATCGACAAACACATTTTTCAAAGCAACTGCGACCGCCATTTACTTTCTAACTTCCTACTGCGCATGCGTCAACGTATGAGAATCTCCTCCGAGCGCAGCCGAGAATTAATTACAGCTTTGGAAGTAACTCGCTCGCGCTGCCAGTAATTACGCCGCGGGGTATTCAAGGCACAGACCGTGATCACAAGATACCGTCAATAGATTTTTAGATTTTTAGAAAATAGGTTTTTCATGTGAACGGTCCCTTATAAGAACATCGTGGCATTTCGCACTAATGACAAGTCTTTTCTCCGCAACTCTGCGCAACTCAGCTGAATGTTATTGATTAACTGTTTTTAACATTCGTTGACATTCTGTCACGCTTGCGGTCTTAGGCACCCTGGCTCCCCCTTGCTAAAATGAAGACAAAAACTGAGACAAGCAGACTCCAGTATAAAAACTATGGAAAAAGAGAATTTTAGAGATTTGATAAGGATCGTTTTTTTTTCAGTTTCACACGATGGAAAAATATTGAAGCCCCCTAACTTGGAATGTTTATGGTTTAAATGAACAGTCATAAGCCAGTGGTGACAGAGAGCTTTACCCAGATTTGGAAATTTTGCTATGTTTGTCGTCAGTGTCCAATGATAATTAAACGTAGACGACATCTCCTCGTTGCTTTTGTCTTTCAAGAATACCTTGCATGATATCTTTACACTTGGGGCATCTTATCCTTGAATAAGGGGGGGGGGGGGGTCAAAAAGACAGAGGCCATAAATTCATTAACAATCACAGAAGATGTCAAGATTATGCCAGGAAACAACGAAGAATTGGAGAAAATGACGGCTGTAAACGGACGTGGAGATGATAAAATTATGCATTATGCAACCAGCTTATCCTTTAGATAAAAGAGGAGGCATTATTACCCTTCAGATTTCCAGGACAGACTTTAAACTGCAACTGCACACGTCAGCGACTAAAACATTAATGCACTTTGACCCTCACATTCTGCTTAGAATTATCACACGGGGAATGGAACTGCATTAACCACGTAATGTGCAATACTCTACTAATTTGTTCCACCTAAGTAACTTGAAATTATTTTAATTGCTATTGCTTAAGTCTGGTATATCAATGGTTTTGTTAAAACTGTTACAAAAGACTAGAGATTCACAGAGTACTGAAAAAATGAATATACTCCTGCTTTTCGAAATAATTCCAAGCAAGATTGAACGATTAAGCCTTAGTGATAAATGTTCTTGCTGTACTACGTGAATGCGCATCCAAACAAAACCGCCCATTCGTGGTATTGCACCATTTAAAAATTCGTGTTCCCCCTTGTTGTCATTAATAACAGGTATCCCAGTGCTATCAAAATAACATGAATTCCTCAAAAGCAAGTTAAAATAAATTAGTAGCAATGCTTACAAAGCTGCACATCTTACACATTGTGAAAATGAACGTGTAATGCCGGTGCTGGTATACTTCATACTAAAAGACACGGAAATGATGCTCAATACCTAGTAAATATCGTTTTATAATTAACAAAGTTAAAACAGTTTAAGCATGGTTTATTCAAGTTATATAAATCATGATTTACAAAATTCTCTTTATATTGCTGTAAAAACTTAGTACAGTTTTCATGTAAAAGAACCCATTTGATTTTGATTAAATACTTGCAATTCACAATAAATGTGATTTTGCATAATTCAAAAGTGCATAATATAAGTTTACAAAGGACAGACATTTTACATTAATGCAATCAAATATCATGAAGTTAAATAACTTTTTTATAATTAGTCTATTCCAGGTTAACTCCATGAAAAGGTGTTTTTGACAGGTCTAGATCCTAGAACAGTTCTAGGACTTATCTAGAATATTCTTATACCACCTACTGATGTGTTCTATTACATCATACAAAGGGGAAGTTTATGTAAGATTAAACCAGATAGTTGTAAAATTTTTAAAATATGTTTGAGCAGTACTGTACTGATAACTGTATCAACTTCTTAACAAGATAACTTGCAAACATATATTACTACTGAATATAAACAAACATGAACAGAAAATGATATTTAGGACTAGATTTACACTGAGCACATACTCCAATAAAGGAACTGTAAACATTTAAAATAGAATCAATGACTGAAGAGTAATCCCCCCCCCCCTTTATCTATTTACAAGATAGAAATACTAGTAGACAGTGCATATTACTTTTTTTAAAAACTATAAACACATTAATGTTTTTTTTTCTTAGTAAAATCTGTATCATACAGCTGAACTGCTGGTCACATTGTATTGTACAAGTTATCATCCAGTTCCCATGTTGTTGCATGGGAAAATATATCATTTGTCAAATTAAGAAAAGAATATTCACTTCTGAATAAATAATAGTATATTAAAAACTAAGACAAAAACAAATATATTAAAGTTGTTACTACACATGTACATGTATATTAACTATAAATGGATGGAAATTTGATCCTTAGTTGTCAAGCTATATACTCAGCTACATTGTTGCATAGAGAAATCATCTGAGCAATAAAAAGGATTTTAAAAAATATAAGTAAATACACATCTTAATTAAGGGCAGTAAGACAAAAAAAAAAAGTGGACGGCTTTTAAATAGAAACAGTAACAACATATTCTACTTGGGTACATTCTCCAGGGACAATTTGATCATTTTATCAACAAGAGTGATCCAGTTGAACTTGGCCTCATAACTATGAGCTTGTAAGATCCACTTCCTCTTTGGGGTGTACATCTTGAAGGCATTCTTCACATCTGAAATTAGCAATATGTGTGCACATTTCTTTGGAAAATCCATAGTCTATGTCCACTGGAATGTGGTTTTTTGAGAAGCTGTGCAATGGAAATTTACTACAAAAATTCCAGTTATGATAAAAGTAAGTGTATTTGCAGGCATCAGTTCATATAAAAATACATATTGTATACCAAAAAAAAATGTGTCCAATCTATTATGTTATTCCTAAATATTTATCTTACATTTTGAATCCGGGATGTCTTCCATCCTTAATCTTGGCAAACCTAGCACTGCCTCATAGATGTAGGTGTGTTCCACATAGCGTTCAAATGGAAAGTGCTTGGTCTTTCTCTTGGTAATTATCACAGAGTCATTGAAGAGATATAGGCCCAAGTTATCTATTTCTTGATACATTCTGTAATGTAAAACACCAGCATGATGAAGAACTTCATCTGAAGTCATGCAAACTCATGCATAACATGATGATGTGAAATATGCTAGAATTTTGTATGTTTTTATTATCCATGAAAATCCACTATTTGCAAAGAAAGATGTAAAAAATCAAAGATAAATAAAAATAAGACTACTTGTACTATTTTTTTTCATCAGTATTAGCTGAAACCTTTATGAACATTGCCTACATGGCTGGAACATTCACATTACTCAAATTTTCTGGTCCCAAAGTGGAGTCACTGCACAGGAGTCCACTTAAGATTACCACTGGCACAGATGTTTGCATATGCCTACCTTAATTCAGGCTTAATTGTGTTAGCAGCAGGAGGCCTCAGGAGGGACATGTCTTCATGTTTCAGGAAATATCTGTTGGTTTCAAGAAGAGACTGAAAAAAAAACATAAAATTATTACACTCAAGTTTATTAGTTACTACGATAACCATTATTGACTAAGGGGCCCGTTCCTTAAATGAACTTGTTACATGTATTTACACATAAAGTTACATTAATCCAAAATGGAAAGATTAATACATGTAGCAGGTTTTAAAGTATTTGCATACTTAATGTACATGAAAAATTTCATCATAATCAACTTACTGGGCAGTGCTGTATTTGTTTCTGGACAGCAAGAAGTTCCCTGTCATGCTCTCCTCTTAGTTTTGCTTCTTTTACCATTCTTTCTACTTCCTTGATGCTCTCCAGTGCTGCAGCAGTGTCCCCTCTGTCTACGTGGTCTTTGGGGGTGTTGGCTTCATACCAGGTTAGGAGAACCACATACTCACATAGTCTTTTACCAGGTGCCAAAAACAGCTCAAATAAACTGAAGAAAGAGAGCCAATACATTTATATCAGCTGTGAAAACATTTTACATCTTTACTGTACATGTAACACACAAAGATCAGCAAATTTAAAAGAATTACAAAAAGTAACTAAAAATGGGAACATCTGTAATATGGCAACAAAAGTTAAACAATCTTAGTTACAGCTTGAACAATAAGTCTGTATTTGTCAGTAGTGCAATAACACTTTCTCTCTTTTCTTATACATCTATTAGTTTATATCGATATCTTCTATCCTCACGTTAACATCCTGGTCCTAGCAGTTCTCTCCTGTCTCTTCACAAATGCCTTGAAGTTTGGGTAGTCAAACAGGCACTTCTCTAGTACAGCAATGATGATCTGGTAGTTCTTGAAGAACTCTGTGTACCAGTTGAGTTTTGTACAGAACTTGACCATAACATCACCCAGACACTGGTCCTCACTCCAGTCATCTATACGGATCTGTAGCTCATCAACTAAGTGACTACAGAAGATAATGAAGAAGAGAAACTTTAAATGATCCTTAATGATAATATTTTTTTAGTTCTGATGTTCAAACACCAACAAATAACATAAAATGTTTTCAATTATTGAGAATGAGTGCATAATGCTCATAAAACAGCTTGATACATCTACCAGTAGAACCATAACTTATCTAGCAGTCTAGTTTGTCTTATGTTCCAGAAAATGTGATAATTCCAAGAAACATTTTGTTTTTTGTCATGTGCCATGCTAAAAAGATTCTGGCTAAATAACAGTTCAAATATAATATTAAATGGCATCATTGATCAGATATATATTTATGTTAAAAAGGAAGATGATTATATTCTCACCTGCTGATTTCTAACAGGGTCATAATGTCAGAGAAAATGTTCTGTAGATGTGGGGCACTAAGAATAGCTCTACAATAGAAACACATCTCTACTGGTAGAAATACTTTAAGTTTTGAAAACATGTTTCATGATATCAAATTACCATTATGTTGCTATATATTAACCACAAATAAAATTTCCTTCAAATGTACTTAACAACCTTTTCCTTGATCGACACAATGTAAAAAAGCATTACAGGTAGTTTTAACACCCCATTGCTCAATTCTGGCTGCTTACTAATTCTTATTCAACTGCTTCTTGGCATCACCTTACCTATTGGAGGAGATAGCCCTCCTAAGAGGTACAACAAACACATCCTTGATGATCTCCAGTGTTCTTTTGTAATCCACTTCTGATGCTAATATCTCACGGGCTATCACACTTCTCTTCTCTGGGTGATCTGAGAACTGCTTGGTGTTCTAAATATATATATACATATATATATATATTTAATCCATGCATGTTATTTTGAAATACAGTATTTTATATCTCAGTTCCAAGAAATATATTGATATTATTCTCTAATCTGGTTAATAAAATCAGTGTAATGTAGCATGCAATGAGTTAAATGAAATAAAAAATCTGAATTTAGTTAAGGTAATGTCCTTATGTACTTATGTACTTTTTTAAGATAAAATCAATTAGCTTTGCTAGATCGCCAACATTAGCTGCTGATGCAATGCACAACAATGTTAATGTGTGTTGTTGTTGTGCAGTGTAGCATAAGGCAACTTCCTTAAATAAAGATGTACCTGCAGTTAAATTAAAACATTTTAATTCATATGGATATGGATGAAAACAGTATAATTATACAACATTTTAACTAAAATAAATGTGTTAATTCATTTAAAAACAAGTTTTTGTTTATCACTCACCAGTCTCCTGGTTGCTGATTCCAGTGGTGACCTTAAATTTTGACTGGAAATATATCCACCAGTAGGTATTAAACGGACATCGGACTTTGCCTTTTCCCTTTGCTTTTTAGCTGCATTTCTTTTAATGTCCTTCTTGCCTTTGGCTTTGCTCTTTGCTTTTTTTGAAGATTTTTTTGCTGATGATTCAGAAGACGATTCTGATGATGAAGATGATGATGATGAAGATGATGATGATGATGATGATGATGACGATGAAGAAGAAGAAGACGATCCTTCATCACTTCCTTTTTTCTTTTTCTTATCCTTCTTCTTTCCCTTATTTTTATCTTTGTCCTTCTTCTTTTTGTCTTTCTTTTCATCTTTTTCCTCTGCATCATTTTTATCTCCATCTGCTTTTTTGTCCTTCTTCTTCTTTTTGTCTTTCTTTTTGTCTTTTTTCTTTTCTTTTTCCTCCTCTTTATCTTCTTCACCTTTAACTTCATCATCTTTCTCACTTTTTGCCTCCTCAATTTCTTCATCCATTTCTTCACTTTCTTCGTCATCATCTTTATCTCCACTATCTTTATCCTTTTCTTTCTCTTTAACTTTTCTTTGGGCCTCCTCATTTTTACTTTTTTCCTCTTCATTCTCTTCATCTTTCTCTTCATGTTTGTCTGTCTTTTTGTCTTTTTTCTTTTCATCTTTCTCTTTGTGTTTGTCTTTCTTTTTGTCCTTCTTGTTTTCATCTTTCTCTTTGTCTTTGTTCTTTTTCTTTTTATCTTTTTCTTTCCCCTCTTTCTTATTTTTCTTTTCTTTCTTGACATCCACAGTACTCTCCTCCACCTCACCATGGTCTCCTGCTCCCAAAAGGAATCCCTTTTGTTTGGCTGCTTCAGTTTCCTCCTCCTCCTCCTCCTCTTCACTTTCCTCCTCCTCTGCCTGCAGTTTAGCTGTCAGGCCCCCAGTACCAGCCTATTACAAATACAACATAAAACATGTTATATAAAAAAGATACAAAACAACAAGTATCTAAAAGAAAAAAGAAAACTCTAACACAAAGACATGCTTGATGCTGTCACTATAAATAATATCTCTGCTCCTGCCTACCTTGTGTGCAGAATTCCCACCAGCTGCTTGTTGTTGTTCTGGAAGCAGGACTTCATATCCAGATAGCCCAAGAAGGTACTGTCCAAGGTACTGCAGAGGTTTCACCTATGAATAACAGGACATTTCATTTCATACAGTACATGTACATATCTCTTTCTCAGCCATTTTTTCACAACAAAATCACATAGATGCTACCTTTACTACTTCATAATCAGCTAAATTTTTGAAAGGCAAACTTTTTTCATCTTTGCCCAAAGCCCCCCCCCCCCCCCCCACACACACACACACACACACCAAAAAAATAAATAATAAACAAATAAATAAATAAATAATATTTTTACACTGTTTAGGCATGGAAGATACCCAGAACTGGATAGCTAGGATTTATTTAGGTATTGGGTCCAGGCACAGATGCCAAAAAGTTTTCGGAAATAATTGAATTGGAGCAAAAAACAATTGTGGTAGCCTCAAAGAGCCTCAAGCCTCACATCTTCCGCTATATTGACAGTAATTCATTTGAAAAAATATGTAAAACAATTCAGAGACCCAGATGTAAGACAGAATCAACAGCTTATATTGGCAGTTCCACTGCTATGGTCCACTATGGCCCCATTCACCAAGCATGGTTTACAATGCTGGATTTTGCACCTAAATGGTGGCTCGAGCTTCTAAATAAAGTTCACAGTTCAAAGTTTAGACCCCTACAAATGCTGCTTTACATGTTTTACATAGATTATTTCTAATAATATTCAGGATAATTCTTAACGTTATAGGAAATAAACAATAATATGCACAATGACATTTTATTACATTCTTTGTGTAAGTATGTATAAAAAAGAAATACATGTTTGCTAGGTTTAAACTCACATTTTTCTGCTGGCCTAATGAGACAAGTCCCTCAACCAGTGCCTCTGTGACCACATTGATGCCTTGGATGTCTGCCTGGCCCAGTGCATCAAAGACAACCTGGCCTGAAGTAATCAAACATGACATCATTATACAGTGCAGCAGTAATGATATCATAATGGAGTCTGGGGTAACTGTCCATGATATCAAGAGGAAGAGAAAAAAAACAACAAAAAACTCTGGATTCTCGACTTGGAAACAATGTTGTTACATGTACTTGGGAAAGAGAGAGCAAACCTGAATTTTGGTAAATGATATAAGACCTAAGGGTGTAAGTGTACATACGTGCCCATGCATGTGCATCGGTGCAGTGATATAAATGTGCATACATCACACACAAAAAGGTGATGGAAAAGTGACAAGCTTGAACATATACATTAATGTCTGTCTGAGTAGATCATAAAAAGTTAATTAAAAATACTACTGGTATGTCTTTAAAATGAAAAAAAAATTAATGAAATGAAAATACATGTAATGAACAGTGACAGCCAAAAATAATCATTTCAATCACCACATGTTCCCCTCCTACCTGTGACCTGTGCCACCAGGTCCCTGTGTTGCTCCTCAAAGTACTGCCCCAGTAGTCTGCTGGTCCTGCCCAGGGCCTCCTGGACGGTGTCTGCAGTATTAGCCCACACATTTAGCTTACTACTGGCAAAGTACAGAGACGGTGGGTAATGATCCTCTGGGCAGAATATCCACGCACTGTTTACTAGAAGTTAAGGCAAATCTTAAGCAATCTTTCTCAGAGGTGTATTGTCATAACAAAATTACCTTATGAGTATACAGTATATTACATATTGAAACAACCGCCATTGAAAAAACAATTTTACATAAGTTTTGGCATGCTTTCTGATGTACATTGATCTGCCCAGGTATTACACATTGCAGATGAACTGCTAAGGCATCTTCCATAAACATTATTTTGAATCTATATCATATTAATCTGATTGCATGCACAATTTTTTGCGAGATTGAAAAAGAACTTGAAAGACCTCTCTTAATAAATCAATGTTAATATAAGACTCACTGTGGTTATAGTTGCCAATGATCCCAGTGGGTGAACAGAATGGAATTCCTGTAATACTATGCAGCTGTATCAGCATTTCCAAACCTTCCTCTAAAAGTGATAAATTAAGGCAAGAAAAAAATGAAGAGTCAAATCATATTTAAAAATATTTGGACTGAGATCTTTTGTAATTCTCCTATTTTAAATCAGAGATTCACTTCATAAATTAAAGTAACCATGTAAGTCTGACCAACAGTTTGACAATAATCAACATTAAAGATGATACTGCATTAAATCCATATCTCATTTTACTATCACTTTCTCTTCAAATATCGTATTATATCCCATACTCACCACAAGAAGCTAATGGTAAGAAGAGGTCCACATGTCCATTCTGCTGTGCAGGTAAACAATGGATGGTGATGAACTCAAAGAAATCTCTGACCTCAGACAGGTCTAAAGCATCTAAAGTCACCGTGTACTCGTGGATCAGTCTCAACTCCCCCAATTCACGAGCATGACAGAACAGACCAATGCTCCTGGAAAGATTAGAATGCTTATATCACTGATGTAAAATCTAAATGTTTTAATAATTATCAATGTTGGGATAGTTTTTTTGCATATATTACTAGGGGCAGGTAAGGGGAGCCTTAGGGTTATATCAGACATACAGAAATTTGGGCACAAATACTGCCAGTGTACCGGTACCTAGTAGCTAGCAACTGCCCTTTTTAATCATACTGAAACTGTCATCAGAAATAATATTTTTCATGATATATTTAATTCATTTTATTTGATTGTATAATTTACTTTGTATCTAAACAGGACTGAGAGACATGTCGGTGCATCTCCTTGATAAAATAGCAGCTCACATTATTATATATGTAACTTACTTTGCACTTCTTCCTTGCAAAGTTTCCTCAAGTTTAAACTTGAGAGTTTCCACTGTGGTACCTTCAAATTCATATACTATGGGTATTACACCAAAGAGTACCGCGTCGACTAATACCTAAAACACAGCATAATCTAAGAGTCACCATCAAACAGCTAGAACTCAAATTATTTTGCTTTGTTCAATAGTTCATGAAAAACATTAAAGTGTACATATCATGTAAAATAAGGATGCATAGCCGATAACCATCACTTTACTAACTATTACATACACTAAAGTGCATACAGCATGTAAAATAAGTACCCGTTGCAGACAATTATCACTTAAATAACTATTACATAAACTAAAATGTATCTATCACGTAAAATAAACACCCACATCAAATACCTGTGTGTCTGAAAGAGATAATTAAGTAATCACATTATAAAATTATATGGACTAGATATCACATTACAGAGTATAACTTACATCAGCAGCAGGAACACGTGATGATATAAAGATGACCCTGGGGTTGGCCTCAGCAGGGTAGGGCATACTGGAACACTCGGTCATGAGCCTGCTTCTCCAGGGGAGTGGATAGCCTCCCACACCCCCAGACAGATTGGGCCTGGGAAAATTGCACATTCTTTGTATTGGTCCATCCAATACAGCAGTGTTACACTTTGAGAAAATGTGTGGTAATTAATGCAATCAAATCTATTTATATTGTCTTATCTATTCATTGATTGGATAAAATGTTCTTAATTTGATAAAATGTGTAACATACAAAGAGTAAATCTATCAGTGCACTGATTCAAAAAACAAGAAGCTTTTTAAAAAGCAGCTGAAATAAAGAGCTGCAGGGAGTGTAATTCCTGCTTCAAATTCTCACATTCTGTGAATTGACTTTTCCTTAGGTGGCTCCCATTCCATGTTGATGAGCTCTGTCAGCCGTTTCTCTACAAAGTTTTCAAACTTGAGACTTCTGGAGATGGTGTCTTCTGGTGGTGGTTCATCATAATTGAAGTCATAGGCCTGGCCACTCTAAGAAACAAATGTGACAACACTTAGGAAATTACATACCTGGTATTTATTTGTCAAGATTAAAAGTAGCCAAATATGATTCACAAATGCAGTCAAATTCTTTTTCATCACATAAATTATTTCACACTGGGTTAGGGAACCTTCTAGTCAACTGCATATACAGTATATCCACTGAATAGGTAGCTGGGAGGATTTACTAGAATTTTTATATATTACATGGCTATTTATATTTGTTATCTATGGGCATATTTATACAATGCACTCACTGTCAACAGCCTATGTCTTTGCCGTTTCACTTTCTTATCCAGTATTTGTGTCTGTTGACTTTGTTCTGGTGACTGATGGAATGATTTGGCTGGCTCAGTCTGGGACCTGGTGTGCTGCTTTTTGATAAATCCCCATCTACAATTGGAAAAAAATTAAGTATAAAAAATAAATGAAAAACAGGAAAAACAATACCAACTACGATGTGATTCAAGGAGTCACAACTCAACTAAGTTTGCACCTGTAGAATCTCAATTCAAATAAGAAATCAAGAAGTGTTTAAAAAAATTGTCCACTTAAATGGATATGTCTTGTTATTTGAACATTATAACTATCTGGAAAAAAAACAGAAAGATGTCAGTATATGTTAAGTACTCACTTGTCATGAAATACATTTGCAGACTTTGGCAATTTTGGATCATTAGGATTGAACCCATAGAGAAAAGCATTCATTGATTTTTCAAGGTCTTTAGGATTTTGGTCAGGAACAATCCACGGGTCTCTGGCTTCCATCAACATTCCTCCAAAGACAAAAATCACTACATCATTTACATTTGAAGTACATAAGTCCACATAAAATTAGTAGCAGTTGATAATCTACCTTTGCAATGTGAAAACCATATTTTGTTCCCACATTTTAATCTAAAAATACCTAAAATTATATTAACTCCATATCATCAGGCACTTCTCATTAATTCAATGGTTCAACAAAAATACGAAGTAAGTGCCTTTGAAAGAAAACTACACTACATACTGCTACTCCTAGGTGAAAGCTTGGTTGGTCTTCTGACAGCCTCTGGGTCCAGTTTCCTCTTGCTGTCAAACTCCTGGAGGACCTGCTTGGAGAGCTCTGTCTCGTCCCCAGCTTTCCCTCTGACTACCACCTCTGCTTCTCTGCCATCAGATCTGGTGCCATATAACTGGTTCTAGAACAGGCACTATTCAGCTTATTTATGATGGTAAAATCCTGCACTCCACATGTAATGCTATATATGTAAAGAGTGTAGTGGAGAGCCTTTCTAAATAGAGGTCAACAGCATAATGATAGGATTGATCATTTAGATATTTGTGCATGCTGTTTTTAAACCACACTGACAAACAGTAGAATTAAGCTGTAAAAATATTTTTTACATAGATTAAGGAATAAATATTAAAATATTATATATGCATGAAACCTTATTTTATCTTATGTTTCCTCATGATTCCTGATATGAAACATTTTACTTTAACTCAAGGAGGTACATACATAAATTGTGTTTACATGCACCAGCATTATGCATGCTTCTCATATTGTTAAGCAGATCGGAAATAAGATAAGTGCTTCATGTATTTAAAAAGAAATGAAACATTACTTACACCTCTATTGGAAACTACTACATCCATTGTCATGAAACAAGCAACATAATGTCTCTTCCAGGCTCCAACTTCACCCTCACTGGGTGTATATGGAAGATGCCAGCCCAGCTTTATACATTTGGGTTTCCACAAAACATCCTGAAATAATGATATGTAACAGTTCATAATTATCGTTTGTTCATACCTATGTATATATTATGCATGGGTATATTTCAGGCTGTTACAACAGCACAAAAAAAACTTTGCATTGATCGCACATGTATGCAGTACATACCCAGTAACTTATTGGGCTATCCCCATTTAACAGTGCTGTTACCAATTTAAAACAGGAGAAGCATACATTTACCAAAAAAAATTATCTCCATCTGAGTTTTTACTTACATCCTCTGCTAAGCTCTTCCAATACCAGTTGACCTGGCCACAGCGACAGAGAGTCCTCGGATCAAAGTATGAGAATATGTAATGGCTGAGAAACCTGGGCAACACTGTGGTGAAGTCCAGGTGTCTGAGAGGAACTTTCTCTTGGAACCATCTGTGCATAAACAGTAACTGGCCTTTGGTACACTGTTTAAGAATGACATCTAGGAAACGTTTCCTCTGAGAATCTGTCCAAAGGTCAAACTGAAAGGCACCATTACCTTAAATATTAGTGTAGTTTTATAAAGGTTGCAATTCTATTATTTACTTTTGAGTCCTTATATAATTTTTTCTACAGATTTACCTTTGGTAACAAACTTCTTGTTAAAACATAATCATGAAATATAAAATTACCTGCATTTATAAATATACATACTAGTATAACATAATGTACATACCCAATTTGATATTAGCTCTCTTCTTTCCTTGTATATCTGTAAGAAGAAATTATAGAAAAGTTTTATCTATACTGTACATGTAAATGAAGCAAAGAAAGGGCAAAAGGCAGTTTTAAATCTTATCTTTTGTTATTAAAAAATGTTTTGTGTTTATTAAGCATTCTGTCTTCAAAATGTAACATTTACCAGAACTTGTATTATACTCCCTTGTTTGTAAAAAGAAAAAACACTGAAATTCATTGTCATGCCATTACCAAAATTAGTGAATAATACATTACAATGTAATAGAAAAAAATCAATGAATGAAGTCAATCTGACATTAACTTGTGTTATGTGCCCTAATGGTGACAGATACATGTGCCCGTTTTAATGGAGTGTTTAGCTCCAATAATTTGACCCAACTACTTTGTACTATAGTCCATGTACAGGTACTACAATGCACTGTACAGTGTCAGTACTCAGTGGGCTTTGGTAAACTGAAGGAAATGTATACTACATGTAAAAATAGCACCAGTAGTGGAACAGGTAGTGTAGAACCAGTACCTGTTGATTGGACGGCTTATGTACGACGGGCGTCCATGCGCTATGAACAGTCCTGAACTTATCCGTCTCAAACTTGGTCGGCAGAGCGGTTTTCTCTCTTTTCTTTTGCACTTTGCCGATAACCTTCGAGTCGTCAGCTGTCAGATCCTTCAGCCGCTGTGTGGGTTTGATGGTGGCGGTGGCCTTAAAATTGGTGGCCATTATCTATGCCGAGTTTAGAATAATAACGAGGAAATTTATCTAGATGAGCGCACTTATTTGGCCCTTACATCTTCTTCAACTTTCATGGGACTTGAGAATGAATTTGGCCCATGTGGAGTAATGCAAATCATGCATTAAACAGGAATGATTGAACTGCATGGAGGCCGCCATCTTCAACGTTTTCAACACCAACGCGCATGCGCGGCGTGTATGTTACTAAGGCTTACTTCCCCGAGTGCGTATGATGGGGCGTGGCTGTTGAAGTGAACATCAGGCAAATATTGACCATTCAAAAAGAAAAATGAGCTTAAAGGCTGTGACCGATCGGAATTCCATTTATTCATCTTACGATTGCACACCCATTCGTACCCTTTTTTTTTCGTTAAATCATTCGTAACTTTCTGGACAATCGACTAAAATCTGCAAACCGCAAACGCCAAGCCTTCTGTCACCTATTCGTGGTTGTATATGACTTGAGTATTCGGATGATTGGTTATCAAACACGTGTTTTCATCACCTTATGGAGCATATGTATCATTTTATCGTAAAATAGCCTTAGATTGTAATCTGTCCCACAGCCACTTGTAAATTCAAGACGAAAAATAATGCACAATTAAGTAGGCCTATAATGAGATTTTTTTCGATATTGTTGTAATTCTACTTAAATTTTCGTGTAGATGAGTATGAGAAATCTAACAGCACTATATGTGATTTTACATTTATTATACAAATATTGACTGGATAATAAGCTTAATTACCACTCAAAAGCCCCACAAATTTTAATATAAAGCAAGCAGTATGCAAGGATAATCTCACAGACAAACAGAGACATAAGACAAAAAAACGCTTAAACTTTAACAAGCCAATCAATTTTCTTTGATGTATAATGGTATTAAACAGGCCCGTAGCATGTGCGCTAACAGCTATATTCATTTACGTAGGCCTTAACTGGCACATCACCCTTCGCCCAAGTCTATTGTCGTGGTTTTGTAAGCTCACGTCGAAGAAAAACCTATTCAATTCAGGTGAAAAGAAAGACAGCCTGTTATTGTGTCGCGGGTGACCTGTTGTGCTAAAAAATATACGGAAATATTATTCGCGCCANAGGCCAATCAATTTTTCTTTGATGCATAATGGTATTAAACAGGCCCGTAGCATGTGCGCTAACAGCTATATTCATTTACGTAGGCCTTAAGTGGCACATCACCCTTCGCCCAAGTCTATTGTCGTGGTTTTGTAAGCGCACGTCGAAGAAAAACCTATTCAATTCAGGTGAAAAGAAAGACAGCCTGTTATTGTGTCGCGGGTGACCTGTTGTGCTAAAAAATATACGGAAATATTATTCGCGCCATATAGGGCCTATATATAAATAGAATCGCTTTTTTAAAGACCAGAACAGACTCAATATTTTGATAAAGAAGTGAGCAGTTTACACAACAAAGGACTGCCCTGGAATTGGAACCACCAGAAAATTGTTTATTGTGTCGCTGCTGTCATTTAAAAGTTGGTGCTAGATACACCCGTCAGACAGGAGGTAAAGTACACAGGTGTGGTAGCTCACACGACAAGTTGTGAGTCAGTAGGAAATTAACTTCGGTTATTGTATTTTATAACAGAAATAGCGAAAGCTAGGCTCTACCCGGACACACCCTCATTTCGTTTTCGCACCACCGGATTAAGGCTCCTATGACAATCCATATAGGTCACGCACTCGATTTGACTACGCACCGCGCCCTGGGCTTGTCCACAGATACATTGTAGCAAGGATACCTTTGATTAACAGGTGTCCCACATGGATTAATCCTCATGGAATCGGGAGTCTAGACATTACAAAAGGATACAAGATGACACTGAAGGAGATGGACAAGCTATTTCTCTCAGCTATTTTGCTGAGTTTTATCATGGCAGGTAAGGGCGAATGCTCAAATCAATATTGTATTGAAGGAAAGGGGGTTATCGGCTTACCACACATTGCCTTAAAGTTCCACATGGATGTAGTTATGTCTCTATTTCACTCAATAAATCACATTTTTACCCTTTTATATACGTTTAACAGTATATTTGATAGGGTCGTTGCTATTGCATGAACGTTAATGAAAATAAGTCAGGTAAGCATGCCTGGAATAAGAAAAGCACATACCTGGGTTTTGTTATGAAACGTGTTATATGTACGTATAAAGAGGGAACATACGAAGAGGTGGAACCATAGGACTGAAACATTTAATGTATTACAGTCTTTATATTTACAATATAAAGTAAAGATAACACATATATATTTACGAGAAAGGAAAGGTTTTTAAATCACACACATAAACTTCCATGCACTGACATATATAACAGGGGCGATGCATTCATCCGAAGGCTAAACGTACACACTGAGTAGTGCATATACTCTGGAGAATACAAATATTTGATCCAATAACTTACAGTGAACTACTTTCAAGGACATAAGTCGCAAAATTCTTTAGAATGTGAAGCATATCTGCACACCTTGAATGGGGAGATATTTTAGTTATAGGCTTACTGTATTCAGTATTTAAATTCTTCTGCACTTTTTACGCAAGGATATTTCATAGTGGTGTAGGCATATAAGATACATTGCTCCAAGAATTAGGTTGGTTTGTAATACATGTATATTAAATACAGTTAAAGAGAAGAAATGATCTGAAAGAATCTTGACCACCAGTCTCAACCGATAGATAGATTTGCATATTGGGGAGAACTTTACAGCGTTTATGTTGGGGTGTAATACATGGACGGCGATACACGCTAATCAAGACCATGTGCATATTGTTCTCCTATACAGTGGTCCAATACCGTTATTGCTGCGTGAAATTCTTTCTTTTCAGTACATATGTTATTGCCCTACGCCTTCTATTCATTGATAACAATATGCTGCAATTTACCCTTTATGTCGATTGCGTATTACTGAGGGCTACTTTGTACTTTGTGGCGGGCGATGTGACTGGACAAACACCGATGTATCATGCTTAGGTGGGGCATGGAACGCCGCAGTGACATGTGTATACCATATATATGTAATGTCCACATTTATGAAAAGGAGTATGGGCGAGGCATTCTTACTGGGTACATGATTTTGGGACACGTTGAGTTTTTATCATATCTGTTTATCACCATCATCATCATCATTATTTTTGTTAAACTTAAAATTTCTAGAATTTTGATTCATCATAGTTATTATCAATTTATTTATTACATTTCATTTTTATCTTTCTATATTTATCTTTGAAGAAAAAGAAAACAAATTTTTGCTGTTTTTTCTTATCATATAAGTGAACGAAACCCAGATAATATTAATGCAGATCTCCTTTACACTTCTCAATACAAAGTACCCGGTATATGGAATTTTTCTTCGGGAATTTTAATACGTAACTAGACCTGTTTGATGTCAAAGGACACAACAGATTGGTTTAAAGTTTGGTTAAAAGGATCTATGGAATTTATCAAGATATTTTCTCTTACTTGTATCAAAGGATGAAGAATAAGTTCAGATGCATTTTAACATGAAAACTGGAATGAAGCCCAGGTAACCGTCATGGTCTAAGAGCACCTGTTAAAAGCCCCATGCATGGTATACTTTCACCTACTACATATAGTCCAGCCGAAATACTATTATACGACCGTCTCTTTTGAAAAAACTGGAAATATGATTCTCCTCCAGTATTGCTCCTGCGCTGCTAGATATTTACACAGAATTTAACAACTGTACATGAAAGGAGGGTAGGCGAAATCTCCGGTCGATTTATATATCATTTATTATTGATTATTATTATTAACTATTTTTCTTTTTTATTTTGTTTGTTTTTAGCTTGAATATCATTAACTTTTGACATGCGTTTTATCACAATTGACTCTAAATTCTTATAAAAGTTCACATTTTATGATGTTTCTGCCTTCTTTAATATTTCTCTTCAGACTTTCTTTGTCCTCGCGATCTTTGACATGCATTGCTGAAATACCAATAATGTGTCAAGAAAACTTTGGTTTGCCATAAGTAGTCATTTCAATATGCTTAACAGGTAAAAAAAAATACCAAAGACGATCAAATTATGTCTTAAAGGTAACTAAAATAAGACGTGTCTTAACCAACATTACTGTTATGTTAATCTGTCCTGACAAATGGGATTCTTTGTGGTTAAAATACTGAAATTTTATCAGACTAATTTTATCGTCAAAAAAGCACAATCTGGGTGTTATCTGGTGATGTTTCTCGATCAAAGAAATAAGGAGAATGATGGCCTTATAAAATCCATCTGTTACCCCGATCTCATTTCTCAAATACTTAGTCTTGACTTGGTTTCCAAATCTTATGAAACAGAAAAAAATACTCGTGTTACGAAATAGAAAAAATACTCACATTATAAATGATATAAAAAAATGCATTTTCACCATAGAAGATCAACGATACGGACCAGATACCTAGATTGACACGACTTTGGATTTGCCTCATACAAAAGAACGCAGCAGTGCATCAATATAATGACTTAACATAACATAGTTACCAAAGAGGGTGTATGTTTCAAGGACATGAATCAGGATAATGTGTCCCCCATTCTTTCCATGCTTATTAAGTTTCAAACCTGCATGTTCTCATAATATGGTTTATGATGAAGGCATCATGGTCCGACATTGTTAGGGTGACAGTTAACCATGTATTAAACTGTTTCCGCAAGTACCAAACAGTTGAATGGCGCGAAAACTGATTGTGACAAATTTTTAACGAACCTATCGTCTGTTAAGTTAGCCAGTTAGCCAGTGATAGCTGAATTTACTCTAAAGCCAAACACGCAAACACGTTGAAACAGCATCTGTATTTTAGGAGTATTGTTTATGAACATTTTAACCAGTGAAAACAGAAAAAAGGGAGGGGGGTAGACCTAGCCTAGAAAACGGCTAACTTCAATAAGCATAACACTGACTCTCAATTAATGCCTTTTTTCTTTTTTTTTTTTCTTTTTTTTTTCTGTTGTTATGGTCACATTTAGTGATTTTATATATCTTTGACTACTTCAATAAACAGATATTTATATCTATTGTCATGACGTGTTTTGATTTCGAATCTCAATACTCTCCTCTTGTTTCAGGTGTGTCGGGCATACCAGACAGCGCTGGGACTGATTTCATGGTGATGTTCACTGAAAACAGAGTTGATGATCAACCCTTCCCATACAATACACCCAACATGACATTATATATAACCCCACTCGACGGAAGCAAGGCCGTAACATTCAGCGTTTATTACATACGTCAAAATGTTTTGGTAAACGTCACACGGACGATACCGGCAGGACCGAATACAGCCGCGTCCGTGTTGCTACCCACAGACTTAGAGGTGAGGACCAGCGGAGTGATATCAAACCGCGGGGTCCGTGTGGTGGCTTCCGAAAAGATTGGTCTTTCTGCTATCAACAGGGAAGGCTATTCTGCCGACGGTTTTACAGCAATTCCCGTTTCAAAACTAGGCAAGCGGCACTATTCTGTCTCTTACGCCCCACCCCTTGTCTCAACACAGATGGGTTTGGTCGCTGTGGAGTATGACACGAACGTGACCATCACTGTCGCTAGAGATGCCAAATTGACTTTTAATAGCATCTCATATTCGGGCGGGCAGACGTTCAGTTTTACACTGAACGCCTTTCAAACCGTCCTGTTGGATGATGAGGTTACCCCGATTTCTGACTTGTCTGGAACGCTCATCGTTTCCTCCAAGCCAATTGGCGTTTTTAGCGGAAATAAAAGGACTAACGTTGGCGACGGAACAGTTTCGCGCGACCATTTGGTAGAGCAACTGCCTTCTGTAGAATACTGGGGGACTGAATTCATCACAGTAGCAACGCCCAACCGCACCAGTGGAGATATCGTTAAATTTGTCGTCAGTGAACCCAACACAAACATAACAATCTACGAAAATTCAACTTCCAGAAGCATAATTTTAGCAAATGCTGGTGATGCACGAGAAGTTATTCTCAGTTCTGGCATACATGCGGATACAATGATCATTTCGGACAAACCCATAATGGTTGCCCAGATTGTTCATAGCCACATTGGTAGCAACCCTATGTCCGAGCTGGGGGATCCGGCCCTTACCATTCTCCCTCCCCTTTCTCAATACACCAACGCCTACACCTACGTCGTCCCTCGACTGACCGACCCGGCAGATTTAGCCGAACCCAACAAGGCACCTTACTTTTACTTTTTGATTATCACCATCGAGGACCAATACAAAGATGGTCTGCGGCTGAATGGTAGTGTTATTCCCGGACTTTTGTGGCACTCTGTACCTGCCGTCCCAGGGAAGCCCAGCATGGTGGCCGTGTCCTTTGAAATTCAACAGAACGACATGAGATATACACTAACGAATGTCAACCCGACCGCTATGTTCAGTGTCCTTCTGTACGGGGCTGGGGACAGGGAGAGTTACGAGTACACCCTAGGATTTAACCTTAATGTGCTGAACCCGGTGAGTAAAGGACACTGGGTTTTTGTCCATGACACGTTTTTTTTTTTTGTTTTTG